CACGTAACCTTGAGAGAGAGAGAGGCACATCGATAGAAACCTCAAAAACATGATAGAAAAGTGACAAATAAGATTTGCAGTGCGTCTGGTGACTGGATGTATGCTTACATGAGTCATTATTGCTCTGTGTAACAGGTGCTAGTGAAGACATTTCACACGGAGTTGGCGTCAGAGAGGGCGTTTTTACGCATGTGTTGAGGCACATAACCTTAAGAGAGAGAGAGGCACATCGATAGAAACCTCAAAAACATGATAGAAAAGTGATAGATAATATTTGCAGTGCGTCTGGATGTATGCTAACATTACTCATCATTAATATTTCATTAAAAATCATGGTCCATTAACAGGAACTTCCTTAAGTGGTCTAGACCGTCTTGTATTTCTTTCTCTATCTGTTGGAAACCTGCAAATCCCACATTAATATATCATTAATATTTTATGATTATTATTATAATTATTGATATGGAGATAATATTTAACAAAATCATGAATGCTCAGCAGGTTGCATTTATCTCATTCCGCATGTTATTCTCTTAAGTAGTATTTTTTTCTCTATCTGAAGGGCTTGAGCGATATTACCGAACGCGATAAAACTAATAAATTAATTTTCAGCAAGGGAGTAGCTTGCCTTCCCAAACATTTAAACCAAGCTGTAATATAACCTTAATTTCTAATTAAAATTTAGAGTTGCTGTAACGATATTGACCTCCAAAGACTCATAGAAAAACATATATTAGTGTTCAATAGAGAACCGAATAGCCGTCAATGAATATTAGAACCTTAATCCATCAACTAATAATAGTTCTTTGACGTTATATGACGTCTTTGTGACTATTTATTACCAATGAAACGTGCCATAATATATATCTTAATATTGGTAAGTTAATATAAAAAGGGAAATAAGGGGTTAATATAAGATTAGTGAAAATAACTGACCGTTTGCGGAAGTCGAATAAAAGCTGTGTTTTGAACTGATATCCTTGAATTTGTTAGGTGGCTGATAAGTTTATCTTTAATAATTAAAGGAGATTTCCTATGAGTCGGAAAAGTATAGAGTCGTTAACGTGACAGTCAAATGGACGTCGATTTTAACCAATTAGAACGCGAGAAAACGTACGCTTGCCAGTGGTTGAAATGGGAAGCCAGTTGAGAGTCATGATAAGATTAAAAAATCTTCTCTGAGTCATGCTAGAAGACAAATATAATGAGTCATTCATTAAATATATTTATCAAGCTACGTCAATACAAGATTCGTTGCACGTTTCCTAAGATGGATAAATAATTAGCGTAAAAGTTATCTTTCTTTTCTTTTCTTTTATTTCCAGAATCATAACCACATTTTTAAAAAACGTGTCTCGACGTATGCCTAGCCATGCGTAGCCATCTTCAGTACGTATACGTTCATAAGAAAAGTTCCGATATTAGTTTTCTTTTTCTTTTCTTTTTTTTTTTTTTTTTTTTNTTTTTTTTTTTTTTTTTTTTTTTTTTTTTTTCTTTTCTTTTCTTGGACTTTACTTAATAAAACCACTCTAGAAAATTCTCTAGTAAAACTCTAAAAATGTTAACGTTCTCTTTTGATTTTCAGTTAAAGATACTGTTAACCATCAATTAATAAATTAATTAATCTGACGGGAAAATACCTATATTACTTTGAACTTTATTTCCAGACATCGTAATTAAAACTATAGCTTACGCTTTTTATTCTAAAGACCTAATAGCAAAAATGCTTTATTGTAAAGGGCGGCATCATCATCCCAGTCATTTTAATGGATTTCATTACACAATCAGATTAAGTATCGTTATTATCCTCATAACTTCAGCGGAATTTCTTTTAGGTTTTACTTCAACGGTTCCGACTGTTTTGATGTAGATTAATCAAGCATGGAAGGTAGAATTAATCTGATAATAACTGTTTATTACTGGCTTTTTTTTAGAATGATATATGTCTTGCTGTGGTCTTTTGTCATATAAGCTGTGAGTCGAGTTGGAATTGAAGTGCATTGTGGGGCTGTTTTTGAATTTGCGTTTTTCAGTTTGCTGAGTATTCCACAATCAATTCCATCAAATTTAACTTTCAACCCTCTCACGTTTTCATTTACCGAGTAGAATATATTCCATTTCCTAATGAAGTGCTATACTTGGACGCAAACTCGGCCGAAACTTTACTGGAATAATCTTTAAGAGTCTAATAATCACTGCTTGAAGTTTTTTCTTGTTATTCCGATGGGAAGTATTGAATTTTTACGAATATTGCCGAAAATTGATTTTTTTAAAACTTAGGCATCGACAAGAAATACCATTTGAGAAACTTAACTTTTCTCTGCTTTTCTTCATTAGTTATTTTATTTGTGTTTAAATGGAAATTGAATTAGATCTTTTCTGCGTTAAGTCCTTGTAATTAATCGTATTTACAACATTTATATATTTAGCAACAAAAGATTTTGATTTTTGCATTCTTTTCCTTATTTGTCTTGAAATTTGATAAAATTATTTTTTCCCTCATTTTTAATTTTCCTCGATTTTCTTTATTAGTTTTCATTTGTCCTAAATGACAATACAAATGCATCCTTTCTGCATTAACACCCCACTTCTAATTAAATAAAATCTAAATGAAAACGCTTCCGTTTGTTTAATTGGAAATATTTAACCCAGTTTTACTAAACAAAGCCATTTATTTCGTTCAGCATTATTTGATTAAAAATAATAAAGAATATCAATAATAAATAAATATGTTTTTCAGGAAGGTTGTAAAACTAAACATCTTTTGTTAACCACTATTTTGATAATTTACCAACGATTTCCGTCGTTAGGGATCAAAACTAGCCGCCAAAGAGGACACTTAAATGTTGAAAATACTAAAAATAGGATCAAGTGACTTTCGGATGATCTATTTTAATTGATTCTATTGTTATCAGTGTTGTTATGGTAACGCAATGTCAAGGCTCGTTTTCACTGTTTATCCTAAAAATCCAGTGGTTGGTCTTCTTAATGAATTTTATGTATTAAATCAAATACCCAAAGTAAATAGAAGTTAGTTCCCGTCGATTGCCTAAAGATGATCCGCTTCTCTTTACACTGACAGGATGTTAATATGATTTGAGCAACTTTCTGCTTTATGGATGAAAACATATGGGATTAAATGTATGAAAGTCTTTTCCGTTGAAGTCTGAAACGATATGCGCTTGTATTTTATTTATTTATTTATTTATTTATTNTTTATTTATTTATTTATTTATTTATTCATTTATTTATCTATTTATTTTATTTTATTTTTATTTTCTTTGCTTCTTTTTCTTCCCCTTCCTTTTTTAGTTTTTCTCTTTCTCCTTCTCCTTCTCCTTCTCCTTCCCCTCGTCCTTCATCCTTTTCTCTCCACTCTCTCTTGCCCAAATCTCCCAAATATACATATAATGCCCAAATCCGATATAAATTCAACTTACTGAATTATTGAAATATTTTCTTCTTTACCTCTCAGCTTTTTGTACAACTTATACAATCAACACAAACAATCCGCCGACAATATCCAATACAAGCAGTGTATTAATAAGTGGAAACATACAGAACAAAACATTCAAGGGACCAAACGGAGAATCGTGGGATCATGAAGTTGCGGTATTTAACATACCAGAGTCTAACAAAAACATTTTTGAAAATGGTAATACGGTTGTAGTTACGGGTAACAACTCGTTGTCAATAAGTACCACAGGAGATTTAACAATTAGAACTAGCCTTGACGTGAGTGGACAAGAAGTAAAGGATGATGACACGAGTGTGTTCTTGCGAGGAGGATTTGTAAGAAAAAGTAATTCCTGTTGCGTCTTAGGTAAGTGAAGCTAAGGAACATGGAACAGGGATATGTACTACCATGTAATGGACTCTACTTTGACGATACGGCGGCCATCTTACCAGGGGGCAAAACAAAACAAAGAAGCACTGAAGAAGGTCGTCACCAGCGTCTTCAGTGGATCTTTTACGTCCGCCTTATACAGGGTTATATAGTGAAGACAGACGGGGCCTACGGTTTTAAGTCCTTGTCCGAGTCCTTGTCATCTATATGTCCTCTCAATTCATCTTTTATTGTATTTTCTTTCGGTAAGCTGTTAATATCAATCGACATCATTTCTGTAACAAAGCTTTATTTGCTCCCCCCTGAACATCCCATAATGCCTTGCGATCCAAGATAGTCGCCGTATCGTTAAATTAGTCCAGTGACATAATTGACACCTCTCTATTACGACCATCTTCTCCACGCAACCTCTCTGATACGACCAATTCATTACTATGGACCTGTTCTCTTTATAATCATGTTAATGACTATCTTAAAGGAGCGGGACCTGGTGCAGCGTACAGCTACCATGGTGGTGGCCATGGTGGTAGAGGTGGAGGATACTACCAAGACTTTAATACATCACGGTACTACAGCTGGGACTATCATGATGTTAATTATCTACTGGGTGGAAGCACAAGTGAGTAGAGCGCGTCTGTTTTGTGGTCATTCTCTTTACTTCCCAACCCTCGAACATGCACATTATACATCAAGTCAACAAAAGCAATAGCACCACCACTCTTATAGGTGACTAATACTTCTATTTCAACAAAAACAATAGCACCACCACTCTCATAGGTGACTAATACTTCTATTTCAACAAAAACAATAGCACCACCACTCTCTTAGGTGACTAATACTTCTATTTCAAAAAAACGTTGGTGAAGTTTTTCATTGTACGTTGCATGCCTTATCTAGCATGTTGATTACTAAGCTTGAAATCTATTATATCCAAAGGCAACATGCAACAAAATCTTCACCAACCTTTTTTTGAAATAGCTGTATATAAGCATAGATGTATTAGACATGTTTCTGGAGAAGTTAAGGATAGTGTAGAGGTAGTACACACGCCACTCATCTTTGGGTTCTCAGGTTCGGTTCCCAGACTCGGCATCACATCACATGTAACTACATTCTCGTACCCAGACCCTTCTCACCAAAAAATAGAAGGCTCTGGTAACACACAAAAAAATTCTATCTCGTCAGAATATTCTGACTTCCGGTATAAATTCAAAGCGTCTTTTTTTTTTCAAAAGAAAAACAGTTAAGCTTCTTTATACATTGTTTATGGAACGGTTTATTTGTCTGTGATTAACATTCCGAAAAATAAGCAATTTAGCGAGACCCTCTAATGTGTACGGTAAAGTAGTCAAATTTCAACCGTTGACTGTAAAATCAGCGAACCGGAAACAGATGATTATGCAAAAGAATTAAACCAATCATATTAACGGTCGTGTTGTGCGTTACCAGAGATTTTTCGTTAGAAAGCTGAGAAGGCTTTGGGTACGACAATAATGTGACTAGAGCTTGTTACAATTCTTTCTTGATTCGAGGATTTTCTCCGAGTTCTCCGCCCGGGGTTCTCCAGTCGGGGTTCTCCGGTTATCCTCCTCCACAAAACGTAATAAGCCAACTAGTTTTATTGTTTAGTGCTCTGTGTTTCCCCTGCTTACTGCAATCTTTCTTTTTCCGCGTCGCTTTAAGGTACGGTTCTCTTCGAAAGCAAGGCCGGTTCTGGTGGAGGAGCCATCGAAATAATTGCGGAGAATGGAACATTAAAAATTGGTAGGTTAAGTAATCTAGCTGTTGCTATCGTTTTCCGGTCATTATTTATCGCCAGGGGTGGGGGGAAGGGGGAATAAGAGGGATTACATTCTCTTTAAAGAACTGTAGGGGAAATCAGGCAACAAAGCTGGGATCACTAGCATCCTTTAGTAAGGGGGGATCATAAAGAATATAGTTCTTTTCGAGGGGGGGGGGGTCAGTTAATATTAATGATGATGTTGCGCAAAATGATTCGACTCCGCTAGGCTCTGAATAGCGCAGCGCAACCGTGACGTCATAAAAACGAAGACAAAGGCGACATTCAGACAAACAAACTTACAAGTTTACTTTCAGCAGATAATTTTCACAGCCGATCGCAGTTGATCTTAGTTTACATGGGTTATTATTGTAACTTTAAGTAAAAATAATAAAATCGGTTCGCATAATCCTCGTAGCGGTTAAACAAAATGCAATGTTTGTCCGAATATTTAAGCTATTTTTAGAATCAGTGCGCTGCGCTATAATGACAGGTCCCTTAAGCTTCCCTTTATATTCACCCTACTTCATCCTCCCTCTCTCTTCCAGTGCTCAGTAGGATTTTTCTCTTTGTTATTTAAATCATTTCTTTGTTTCTAAAATTTTTCAACTTAGTTTTTAGGATTATATATTTATATTTTACTGATCATATTCAAAACGACTTCCATGTAAAGAAGTTTTGTGTACATTTTAGCTTAAGAAACATCTTAAAATCAAATAAATATAGATCACAAGAAGCCCACTAATCTTTCTCCTTTGCAGTCGCTGTTAGTGTTGTCACGCAAAGCGTATATAAGTCACCTAAAACCTTTCTCCCCTAAGCTTTGGGTAACGACACTTACACTAACGTAAGTGTCATCTCTTGTTGCTTAGATGCTTCTATCAGCGCCAATGGATTCAGTTCTAAAAATACATCGGAGGAGCATTGTGCTGGTGGAAGTTCAGGGGGACTCATTCGGCTCAAAGCAAACACGGTAAGATTTTCTGTTACGTGTATCCAGGATTTTAAAAGGCAACTTATTCGTTTGTTTGAATTGCCCTATTTTTCTATGACATCACAGTTTGTTTTTAAGGGGGACAGATTGATGAAAGATGCGGGTCGTCCTTCACGAATTTGCAAGATGTGATCCTATTGGAGGGCACACATGTGTAGAACAATAGAAAACAATGACCTTTCCCCAACACCGCCCCTAAACCTAACCAATCACAGGGGACGTTGCTGAGCTTCGTTTTTTAAAGCTCCAAGAATGCTAAGGGCCGGTCATTTCGTCCAATCATGCTTTGCGCCCAGCGTTCACCGTTCAGTTGGTAGCTCTGATATGTCTGGTTTTATAAGCAGATATTTATCCTAAAATAGACCCCTTGCAGCACGTCGGAATGCAGCTCAATTAGGAGGGCAAAACAATAGGTTTTCAATTCTCAGTACATTGAGCTGCTTTGACGTCTTATGCAAGGGGTCTATATACACTCAATTGAAGAATCGTTATCGGGTTCAGAAACATAGAACATAGAAGCTGAGACCGAAATGGCACATGGGAAGTACGTTAATTAGATGCATGCTGTGACCGGCGACCCGTGGCATCATCCACTGTTTTTAATACATGTTTGGCATTCTAGACCGACTGCATGGATGGCACAAATGAATAAATTATAATATAATTATGTCATTTCCCATGTGCCATTTCGGTCTCAGCTTTTATGTTCTTTGTTTCTGAACCCGACAACGATTCTTCAATTGAGTGTATAAGGTATTTGGTGACTACTATTGTCTTTTCCTTAAGTTCTTTTTTAAGTTTTTTTTTTTGTGTTGTTGCTGTTTTGCACCCCCCCCCCCCCCACGACCATGATTCCTAGCGTAAAAACAAAATCCTGTTTTTATGTGACGTCATAATGAAATATATGGCAATATAAAGTTTTTCGTACCGCTGTGTTCCTTGATTACAGACTCATCTACTCAGGGATAGTCTCAGGTTCAGAATATTCACAAATACGGTAGAGGTAGAGTAAAGTTAACTGTAAAGTTAAATATTCACAACTTCAACAATACAAACACTTAAAAATACACCCTTCTCAAGATTATCTTGAATGCGAGGCTAACATGAAAATACAAAAGAAATTCTACAAATGCCATCGAGAAAAAGTGGGATTTCTTTTGTGTTTCCACATAAGCTCGCATCCATCCACGATACGTTTGAGAAGTGTCCATTCTACAAACCTTTACTGGGGCACTTGAATACAAAACACAAATTCAACACAAAATATTCCAGCTTCAAATTCTCTGTGAAAGTCCGTGGAAAGTGTTGGTATTGTTGAATTTGTGCGTTTTTTACTTTACCGCTGGTATTTGTGAATATTTGGACACTGAAATGACTGAGATTATCTCTGTATAAACGAGTCAGTGATCAAGGAACACAGCTGTATATGAGTAATTCGAAAATGGTCCATGGAGACTAGCCCTGAGCAACAGAAAACTCGAAACCGAGTATTACTTTTTTATCTTCAGGTTGTCTTCACAAATGACAGTCTCCTATCTGCCAAAGGTGGCAACAGTGGCTTTAGTACTTCCAAACACTACTGTGGTGATGGCGGGGGAGGTGGCGTTATTCAGGTCTTTTCTACTTTTGATAACAATACCATAAAACAGTTGCATGTGCATGGAGGCAAAGGCATTGATAATGGAGAAGCGGGCGTGGTCTTTCAAGGAGGTAAGCTCATTATTGGCATTTACGAGGTTCTGCGGAAAAACTGGTAACAAGTACAACACGCGCTGTATCATGAGACTGAATCATGGAAACACTTTTTTTTTAATATGTCGGCAAGCTAAGCAATTAATTAAGCAATGGTCAGTGCTTAGCGTGCGTAAATCTATTTATGGTGCACGCGTATAGTTGGGAGAGCACGATGGTAGCGTAAGAGTTGCTCGAGGCCAAGCCGAGTGCAACACTAGCTACCAGAGTGCTCTCCCAGCTATCTGCGTGCACCATAAATAGATTTACGCACTGCTAGAAAAACTGACCATTGCTCTTTTAACATAAAGAACAACTTTACATGATAAAAAGTGGTTATTTCTATCTAATCAAATAACCGATTCTCTAAAGATTTTCACCAATTTGACGTCATCAGCGTGCTCCATACATTTTTTTCTTCATAGGTGCAGAGCCAATCAGAGCGCGCGTTATATCTTAGTTATGTTATAAATTCATGAAATACAGACCGAAAACCAAAGTAAATGTGACTCAATTTGAAAATGAAAACCTGTAGCACGAAAAAGACAAATGGCGGACCCTAAAAAGCCCCATGATGCAGCGCGCGTCTACCTATTACCAGTTTTCCCCACAACTTCGGAGAGGCTAATTTTAGAGAGGGAGGGTGGGAACTATGCAATGAGATTATCATCTCTAAACCTGTATCAAGCAGACGACATGCAATAAGCGAATACCCTATTACTAACAAACATCTCTATAAGCGGACACCCTGTAAAAGGTGGACATCTTATAGAAAGTAGACGACCTACATTAAGCGGACGCCCTGTATAAATTGAACGCCCTGAACAAAGCGGACACCGTCCACAGACCGGGTACTCTGTGTAAATTGGCCACTCTCTAAAAACTGGACACCCTGTATAAGGTAAACAATCTTTATTAAGCAGGCACTCTGTATAAATTGGACACCCTCTAAAAACTGGAGACCCTGTATAAAGCAGACAACCTTTATTGAGCAGGCACCCTGTATAATTTGGACACCCTCTACAAAGCGGACACCCTGGATAAAGTGCACACCCTGTATAAAGTGCACACCCTCTATTAAGCGGGTATTACCTTAGGATGTACATTTAAATCTGGTATGTGTATTAATGTTATCACAAATCAAATCTGTTTATCTAAAGTCCTTCATACAGACGGTAAACTAATTTATTGTCGATTCGTTGTCTGCAATAATCCGTCAGGTCACTTGTTCTTTAAATATTTCTTCAAGTCCTTAGCGCATTACACATCATTACCAATTAAGCTGTTTTTGATAAACCCGTTGTCATTCCCTCTCCATCCAGCCACTTAACAAGACTTCACTCATTAAATCAAACAGCTTTCAGCTCGTTCTATATTTCATTAAAGCTGGTCGAGAAAACATGGCAGTTAATAGGCCATCTGTCAAGGACATGCAATATATCCACTTAATATCAGAGGCCCATCTCGTCACAGATCACGAGTCGATGGTTTTTGATCCCAATCTTTTTATCCCTAGTTCACATTTACAGACATCTGACAAAAGTACACTCTGTGTCCACAGTAAGAACGAAGGCATTGATTGACTTGATAACCAAGTGACGGCATTTTTACCGCAATGAATCAAAATATCTCGTGGTTTGTAGCTGCGGGCGAGAGAAGCGCGACGCCCCGTCGTAAAACTATTTCTTGATATCATAAACGATATCGTATACCATCGGTGTAATTTAGTGCATCTGAAGACGACGTTTCTCGACCTCAATACTCAATCTTCAATTTATGATTGAGCTGAGCTGATTTCCTAAGTCAAAACTCGACGAAAGTGCGCGACACCATGAAAGGAGAACAAATCTCTTCCTGAATTCTTCGGAGTCCATTTTGACCTTTCTCAGCTCAAGAATACGCACTTAAGATAACATAAATCCGAGTAAATTCCTGGGGAATCAAATCGTTGATGTAAAGTACAGTTCATCTTGGTCCAGAGTCACTTCAATGGAGATTTCAACGCGTCAAGTTTATGTGCTTATTTTGGTGATTTTAAGTGACCTGGGATTGGTCACAACTATGAAGACTTCGGAGATGAGCCGTAAGTTATCCAAAAGAACAGCCGACGTTCTGGTCAGTCATTCTCACAACTAGTTTTTGATTTTTCTATTCGCGTTGTTATAAAAAGACGTATTAAGACTCGATTTTGTTTTTAGCTCCATTTTCCCAATTAGTTTATAAAAATGCTTTTGAAGAGAGAAATCAAATGTTTTTCTCACAACTTTAAAACCAAAAGATGTATCCCTGTACGAAAATTGCTTACGGATTAGCGACTCCGACTGTGAAGCGCATCCCTCTGGTCAAGTCATAGAATTTTTCCAAAATGTTTTCAATTGCAGGAGACAACAACTATTGCTCACAAAGAAACAACAATCCATTCGATAGTTTTTATGGATTTTATTTTAAGTCTGTCATTAAATTTTTCGAAATTTTTTAGGTTGTGATACGATTCCTACGCGAAATTTTCTTAACATCTTTAATCTTTTGCAAGCTGTTTCCAAGCTAAAGGTCTTGTAATCTTCGTGTCTTGAATTTTATCTCAGCTTCTTAACATCTTTCTTTTATTATGTTCTTATCAGAAAAGCACTCTGGGCCAGTCATCGAAAATGTGGTTAGCAGAGTAAGGAATGAGTAAATTGAAGAAACGCAGAAATCGTTGTGTGTGAATTAGCGTTTAATCAGAGTCAGTCGCCCCGCAGTTTTCGAGTGTGTCATGCATCTTGCCCACAAACGATTGAAGCTTTTATCCAAGCTTCCTGAAGCAATTTCTAGTGTCAACACACACACAAAAGTGGTTTGCCGTCGATTAGCATGCAGTTGCAATCAAATCCCAGTTTATGTTTCTCGTGTCTCAGTTTACGCTGGCATAAAATATTCCTATCGAATTTATTGGTTTTCAGGAAATATCTATTTAATTAAACTCAACATTTAAAAGGCTTTTCGTGACTTTGATGTGAGGCGCGGTAAATTGACTGGGTCTTGTCAATGAGTTAGACAGTTTATTCTTGACCTAGGAACATTATTTACCAAGCCATTAAAACTTAAATATTTTTTCACTAAAATTCAGTCTCTCATCTGATATGGGGTCGAGGGTCGACGAAATTCCGTAGTAAAATTATTCATTGCTTTTTTACATTTTTCCTGCCGGCTTTTCTTCTTGGTTTGGTAATAGAATTGAAAGCGAGAAGACTCCTAGATTTTTATGTCCTTGAGACATTTGATAAATTTACACGTTTTTAAATTATTTAATGCCAACCCTTTTTTAAATGTTCTTGAATTACGTAAGATATTAATTACTGCTACTTGAAAAAAGGTTGATCCCTGCAATGGTAAACTACAAATCGACTCCTTGTGAGAAGTCGGTTAACGTTAAGAGAATTTTGATGTCATCCAAAATGTTTTTAAACTAAACTAACATGATTTATATAACTTCAATTTATACTCTTCAATATTGTACTTCACTTTTCGTACTCCATGTTTTTGTACTGTTACAGAATATTTGGTTTGCAAAATTCAATTCAATAAACAAAACGTCTTCGCAGCACAATTGGGGTATACCCAATCGTCAGTTAAGTACTAATTTTTCGGCCAAATGTCCGTGTCAGTTAGCTGTAATAATTTTACAATCGCTGGCCATAATATTCATTAGAATAATGAAATATCATCTCAAACTATTAACTACTAATTGTTATGACAACGGTGTATTAGAGATATGTTGGCGCGCTTTTACTCCACTCGATCGCTTCTCGTCATTCAATGATTGGTCAGATGGACTAAAATCCGCTTCATAGATGTCAACCTCAGGTTCAACTGTTTAATGATCTATTTTCTGTTTGGTTTTTATTCCACTCAATCGCTTCTAGTCATTCAATGATTCGTTGAATGGACTAAAATCCGCTTCATAGATGTCAACCTCAGGTTCAACTGTTAAATGATCTATTATCTGTTTGGTTTTTATTTCAGTGTTTTTCAACGACGGTATACTCAATATCAACACCTCAGACTGCAGCATGAAATGGCTGTCTATCCTCGTCCACCAGGGAGTACTCGACCATCGCACGTACCGTACACCAAACAACCAGATGAAAGTCACCTATATCGTCTGCTCCTTCACCTTTAAATCATCCCTTCACATTGGAAGTGGAGCTCGTGTCTTAATCTTTGGAACGAACGCGTTGAAGATTGCCAGCGAGAGAGGGAACATTGAGCTTATGACCACGTTTGACTTGAGTGGGACTGGGAAGCCTGGACCGAGATCGCTGGGTGCCTTTGTCATGAAGAGTCTGAATGGAATGAATGTTGGTGAGTAACCGTAGATGGATTCGACGGGACTTGGGTATGGGAGGATTGGCAGGGGAGGGTGGTATCCATCCATTCCTCCATCCATCCACCTATCTACCCATTCTTCCAAAAATCGACTGCCTTAAGGAAACTTATCCATCTCCAATGACGTATTGAGTACCTTTTTTCAGCTTTAGCATAACCTGAAAATGACGTTGACATGCCAATTAATTTACTAGTTAAACGTCGTGACAAGCTCATTAATCATGCGGTCACGAGTTAACTGGAAGTCTGATTCAACAGTTCATTTAATGCCCGAGGAAACTTTTTCGGTAGAAACCTCAAACCTTAGTAATAATCACTTTGCAGTGCCTCTCAAGATCACTACGCGTGCACAGAATCGTACAATGTTCCAACGCGACAAAAATGATTTTGGTGGATGTAAATCAAAGTGTTTGCATGACATTGTCAAATTTTTTCAGGGCACGTGTCTTTGAAATGTTGTGGAAACGCCTTGATTGACGGCCATAGAAACCACCTTTGTAGTGGTGACAAATTGTACGATTCTGCGCATGCTATAGACCTCTTCGGCTTGGGGTAATGTTTTCCCATTTCAGACCACGTGTCATTCCCTTGAGGATAAGATTCTTTGTTTGAACTGTATCCATATTCATGTGTCTTCTCATGTGCAACCGAGCGCAAACCTTCAACAAAGAAATGATACTCTAAGGAATGACGTGGTCTGAAATGGGAAAACATTACGTCAGAGCCGAAGAGGTCTATTGAGAAGCACTGTAAGGACAACGAACATAATGTTTATAGACATTGTCATTGTGATGTTAATGTACCAACCATTTTTACAATAGGTTTTTTTACTTTGCTTTATGGGATTGTCCAATAGATTTCTGGTTGGCAATTGAAATAACAATTGACCATAACAAATTACGTCACCGTACGTCCACCTATCACATTCATTCTCGGCAGAGCATAGTTAATGGCGCTCCATTAACTCCCGGGCATTAACTATGAGCAGAGAGAACGTTTTCCCAACAGTCAGAAACTGTCTGTCTATGTGAGCAGAATCTCGAATTCATAGAAATACCGCTGCATTATCGATTGCAGGCTCGTTCACACAAAACCTGCCTCAGTTCTGCCAAAATATCCACAAACACCAACGATAAAGATAAAATGTCAAATAGCTATCTGTCATCTGTCGGAAATCTTGTCCAATTTGAAAATAATTGGGTAAACAAAATTCTTATAATGAATAGCCTACATAGAAGGCGCATAAAATCAGTAGTAAACCAGAGTTTAATCATGATGAAGTACATGTATACATGTTCGACTTTCTCTATCTCAATGTAGCTATCCTAAACTCGTTTGACGTCATCATGCGTTTCTTTCCTACTCGTGTTCGGTCAACAGGTTAAACATCTTAATGGTTAACGGAATTTCATAATACATCGTTAGTAATTCTACCCTAGTGGAATACCGATGTAATGCCAGCTGTAATGCTGTAATGCTTTGGAATGCCAGCTGTGAATATTTGATGATGATGATTTAGTATGATTTGTATAGCGCCCTTTCTATGTGGATATAATCGAAGGCACTTTACATTGAGTGAATGACAGGTATTTGCTGAAACATTAACTGCCGTGTATCGAAATCACAAGGACAGAGTTAGTAATTCAGTGCGAGAGATAGGGAGGAGTTTTCAACCTTGTGCACTCGTCAAGAGCAGATTTCCACCTTTATTCCTTCGAAGATCATTACACATAAATTCATCGTTAACATCTGTTTTGGGGTCAAGGAGGTAGTCACATCCCCAAACAACCCCTGCGTTTTTACCAATTCATTGTTAGTAAATACTATCACCCTACCTCCTCCCGGGTATCCCTTACCCCTTAGTCTTATTTCTGGTAAAAACTAAAGGTAAACGTGTCACCGGTGGGGGATGGTGTACACCTCCCCCCTCCCGGGTATCCCCTTGCAGAAAGGGTTTCTACAAATTCCTCCGCTCCCCTCCGAGGCCCATTTTCTTATTTTAGTAAAAGCTATAGGTCATTCATAGTTGAATAAGCGTCATGGGTAGAAATGGACTTCACAGCAGAACGCKACAAAAGACCTTTGCCCAGTTAGCGTCTTTTACTGCCTTCAGGCCTTTCAAGATGATCCGCAAACATTCATTATTGAAATACACCTATGACGCCTAAGTCAATATTTTCAGCATTGATTCTACATGAAGTGAATATTTGAATGGTAAAATATTTTAAATATGGTTTGAGAGATGCATCTTGGAGATCAAGGGTCATAATTCAATATGCAATGAGTGATTTACGAAAYTTTTCTGGGGCAGTAAAATATCCTGTATAAAACAACATTGTCTTACTCAGGGTTTATAGAAAGTTTATTGCAATTTTTTTCATAGTAATCATTGTTTCAATTTACGAATGATGACAAATAAACTCAAATACCTCCTATGACATCTTACTCATTACGATATTAGAAGTATAAACCTTGAATCTCTCAAGTGCATCACTCAAATCAAACAAAAATGTTTAACCGCTCAACTATTCACTTCTTGTAGAATCAAGACTGAAAATATTGAGTTTGGGTTTATAGACGATATGAAATTTTTATAGAAAAGGGCGTTAATGAAAAAACTTTTATTTGAACTCCATGGATAACAAAATCCGAAATCTGTACTAATTTACTCTATTCGTCTGCGGGATTCTATGTAGGAGACGTTCAATTTATAGATTGTAAGCGATGTAGCGAGCGTATTTGTCGGTTGACACCGTTATATTGGTTTCGCGGCCACCATGTCGTTGTGCACAACAATAGAAATTTATGGTTTGGTAAATGCAAAAATTCTTGCATTGTTCCTGCACTTAAACCGCAAAACCATTCTGTTGCGCTGCTAACTCAGCCTGATAACTGAAAAGGAAATAATACTGAATGGGAAATAAAAAAAAGAAGATAGCAATGATTTTCCTACGAGAACACGAAAAAGGAGTGACAAAAAAATTTGAATGTAAAAATAATCGTCTTGACCATATTTTCCGAGAGACATATGTCTAGGTTACCAGATGTGGCCCCTCAGGGGATAATAGCTCAATATATCACACATTAAAAGAACCGCAATAGTCAAATGAAAATAGATATCTGCCGACCTCACACGCTTCTTCAACTAGATATACTGAGCATGTGTAATGTTAGCACTTTATTTCAATAGTGCAATATCTCATATCGTCAGGGCCCAGTTGTACGAAGGGTGGATAGCGCTATCCGACGGATAAATCTTATCCAGTGGATAAATTTATTGGATAACAGCATCGACTTATCCACTGGATTTGAATAGCGCTATCCACCCTTCGTACAACCGGGCCCTGGTGTTTAGAGCCAGTTCATGATTTTCCTTTAAGTATGATTTTGAGATTTTATTAGCCTTTACGAGATTTTTACTGTTTTCGGGTGCGGAGTAGACGCCATCTTGAAAACAGCCCCAGAATACTCTGCAGTGCCAACACGACCCAGTTTTTTTACTAAACCTCCGAATGGCTAACTGTTGAACTTCATTAACATTCATTATGTCACGTTCTTGTCTGCAGGTCCTGGTAACGTGACAAGATGTAACGCAATCAATCTCTTCGCGAATGACTTCGAAACTTTACTCGGTGGAAGCGTTTGCACTGGAAACGTAGGTCAGTAGAAATGACATTATTTCTCATGATTTCTTGGCATTTTGGTATCAAACATGCCCCAACAACCCTTGCTCCACCCTAGAGTATCATTTTTTTGTTCAATGGTTAAACATGAGAAGATGCATAAATATGGATACAACTCAAACAAAGTATCTTATTCTCAAGAGAGTGACACGTGGTCTGAAATAGGCAAAACACTACGCCCAAGTGGATTTGGTCCATTCACTCACGTTTTAAGACTATCGCATTCATGCACCATGTCTTTCCTTCCCACAAACGGCAGACACGATCATGTTTCCATCCTTTACTTGCGTTTCAAATTTCCTTTTACAAATTTGTTCACCAAAGACTAGTATTCTTTTATTTCTCTTTTTCATTAATTCTGAATATCTTTTTGTTCGACAACTGATGTTTCACGTTTGCCATTAACAAGGTTCTTAAATTCTCTATCCTAGTAATGTGTATTAACATTGGTTTTCTACTGATGTATTTGCAGCTGCTAATACTCAAGTCAATGCTGAGGGAGGAGGCGCCATTGAACTTGTAGCCAAGGCAGGAACCATTGTAATTGGTAATTATCGATTTGTACCCAACTGTGAAGACATCGCATTCCAAATCTTAAAATTCAATTTTGAAATGTCGGTATAGAGCATGCGCATGTTGCATCATAGCCGCTATTTTAGTTGACGATAACAAAGCATTTCTCATTAACTTCCATAGCTAGATCAATCAACATGGCGGTGGTAAAATTCTTTCGAATGATTTTKCGCGACCGTGTCTCTGTCCTCTGATATAAACACGGTAGCCAGCCAATCAGCGCGCGCGTTAAATCTCTAATATTTTATAAATATATACATTTTTTTTTTCTTCCTCCTCCTATTTACATATACATGGTTTCATTGTTATTAATATCTCAAAGGATTTTGACTCATGTGGTTGCACGCACAGTATTCAAATGGAACACACTACTCATGTGCCAACATACCTGTAAATATTATTTGCTGCAAACTGTAGAGATAGAGGTAACGAGGACCAAAATCTCCGTGAATGGCCATACCTTTTCTGGATCCAATCACTTTAGATCCATCACCAAATAAGAAAATGCAGGAGGATTTCTTTATATTAAATTACCTATATTAAATATATTCCTCGCTGGTTCTGGAATTCCGCATTAATACTAACGTGTCTTTGATCCAGGAAGTGGAATCAAAGTGGATGGATACTCTGATCACAATGAAGCTGGAGCAACAGGAGGCTTGATACGATTGATAGGGAAGAAGGTAACAAGCTTAACATCCAATATATTCTTGCATATCTATCATTTATAAATTAATGAATGGTTTATAGAAGGAGAGTGATGGCAGCCATGACAAGAGGCAGGAACAATTGAATCTGGTTTAATCTGATTTACATGAGAAAGAAAGAATCAGTTTCTAAGGGGAAAACACTCTATTGTTGTGCCTCCTGTTATGGCTGCCATTACGTGATGGTGCAAAGCCTCCATTCAGAAGTTGATATTTTGTGGACGGAGGAAAACCGAAGAATCTGGAGAAAAACTAAGATGCAGACTGAGATGCTTTTTAGTAATGTCTTATTGTTTCCTGATCTAGGTGCACCTGAAAGACTCCGCGTCCTTCTCAGCCAGATCCTCACCAAAAGACAGCAACCTGGCCAGCGGTGGTATCGTCCAGATCAAGAGTGATATGGATATAGAGGGTTTATGCGAGACGAAGTTTCACGTCACTGGAGTTCGTAATGGACTTGTTAATGTTATGGGTAAGAAGCTCTTTTAACCTTCTACCCCACAACCTACAAATTTAGAGTTTTAAAGGCTTTCCCAATACCACGAACCGAATCGTCGTCGTGACGAAGTAGGTTTTGGTGGACGATAATCAAGGCGTTTCCATGACATTCCATTGTGTAGACACGTGTTTTTGACAAAGTAAAAAAAAAACATTCTGCCTTACGTCCACCAAAACCCTATATTGTCGCGACGACAGATTGTATGATTTTGAGCTTGCTATTGAGAAGCAAAAGATACTCATGAGGGGGTAGAAAATATGAAAAGTACAAATTTGTTTATCTGAATATTGCGGTGATTGGTTATAGTGTCACGTGTTTAAACCCCCTTATACGTTTCTAGAGGCACTGTAAACAGTTGTATACGAGTAGTGATTGAAGTTTTGGTTCTTATTTGAATGGTTGACAGTCTCAGCTTCGGAATCTTACCAAGTGCAGTTCATCCAGGAAGGAAACTTGTTGATCAATACGACCCTGTGTATCTGGGTACATCGTACGGTCAGTAACTACAGCATGGCTTACTCTCAGTTTGGATCCATCTATAATGACACCAGCAACGATATCAGCACCTGTTCATTCAATTTCACACCACCAATCATCTTCAACGGCTCAGCTAATGTGACCTTGACCGGCGACCACGCCCTATCGATCAACAGTAAACAGGGGATCTATATCGGTGTGGATCTTGTGATTGACAGCGGAATGGTTGCAGGGAAGAGCCGATATCTGGGAGGTTATTGTGTCAAGGAGCCGTCACTAGCAACAACAGGTACATAGCAATGATTAGAAATGACTGTTGACCTGGCTATCGACACTAGTAGACTATTTCCATACCACCGTGTGACTGCCTGTTTGTCTGTCTGTCTGTCTGTCTGACTGCCTGTTTGTCTGACTGTCTGTCTGTCTGTCTGACTGCCTGCCTGTCTGACTGACTACCCGTTTGTCTAACTGTTTCTTTGTCTGTCTGGCTGCCTGTTTGTCTGACTGCCTGTAGACTGCCTGTTTGTCTGACTGCCTGTAGATTGCCTGTTTGTCTGACTGCCTGTAGATTGCCTGTTTGTCTGACTGCCTGTAGATTGCCTGTTTGTCTGTCTGTCTGAATGTCTGTATGCCTGACTCCCCGTTTGTCATTCTGTCTGACTGATTGACTGTCTGTTTRTCTGTATGCTGTCTCACTCTCTGTTCCCCTTATCATAGGGACAGGACCTGGCCGAGGCCGACCTAACACAAATGCTGGAGGTGGTCACGGAGGTAGAGGAGGTCTGTTCTTCGAAGACAATAACGGCAAGATATACGGCTACACCTATGGAATCAAGCCTTTCTTATTAACAGGGGGAAGCACAGGTAACCCAATCTTCCTTTTTTTGTAATTACGCTGAGACAGAGCTAGAAGTAGTACCTCGTTTATTACTAATRCAGATCGCGAGGAACAATAATTACGCATAATACGTAACAACAGGGATTCCTCATATCTTTACAGCCCTGCTATAGTGCTAACCAACCGACTGATTGTTTTTTTATGCACCCAATCCCTTACTTTGGGGTACCTGCAACGCCCTGACACAGCAGGGATGCTTACCATTTATCCAGAAAACTCGGTCTTCCGATTGACGCAATCTACGTTTTCCGCTCTTTACGATTCTTCCGGTAGACGCGTGTACCATTTCTTGGAAGAAAAGGTTAACCATTATCGCTAGGAAACGAATTTCCAACCGGATGGATTGGTTGAAATGGTAAGCCCCCCTGTATAGAACTGTACATTGCATCTTGATAAATTATATTTTTGAGAATGACTAGTAGCAGTTACTAGACACACCGTATGAAAAAGTTCTGTGCACTACTTACCCTTTTTTGCGCCAAAAGACTAACGTCCGAAACGTCGGTCTAGTTCACTTTTTTTCTCTTTTTTAAAAGGAACTTCGACTAAGAGTAGTGCTGGAATTCAGGGGTGCGGTGGAGGCGCCATAAGAATTTCGTCCAAGAGGAATCTTACGATAAGTAAGTATCGAAGACAGTTAAAGCAAATTTAATGGGAAATGAATGAATGAATGAATGGGAAATAAAATGATGGGTATCAAGAAATGAACAGTGCAACTAAAGAATTTTTGGACGATCTAGTAACAATTTTAGAAATAGAGCAAGTTTCAATTTCCTGTATTTTTGTATCAAACAGTAAAATTTAAAGGTAAAAGTGGATTATTAAACAGCTAATGATTTACTTTACACTCAATAAAATTACTCAATTCTAATTGGACAAGAGGAGTACAATTAAATGTCAAATTGTACTCTGTAGAGTCCCAATTAAGTTGCTCAATTTTGTTGAGTGTATTATAAACAAAAAATCGCACAATTTTTTCGTACAATTTTTAATTTATAGATACTCATGTTTTTTTTTAAAGTTCTCAAATTGAACTCGCCTAAAGGCTCGTCCAATTTTGAAAACTTTCAAAACATCACGAGTACCTATAAATTCCGAATTGTACTCGAGATCGTGCGATTTCCTATACTTAAAGTGTGGTCTCTTTTACTCCGACGAATGACTAGCATCCGAAACGTCAGTAAGTTTTTTCGTCTTTTCACGGTGTAAAATTGACCCTTTTATCATTACTGATTTTTGATTGGTAGATGCCGCTATACGAGCCAATGGATACTCAGCTACTTTATTTAATTCACATCCCCATGGAGGAAGCAGCGGAGGAACGATCTGTTTAGGAGCACAACAGGTGAGTAACGCTAATCGCTCAAATTAACTTATATCAGAGGTTGTTTCAGGGTTCGATCTGATATTTAGGCGTGCCCTAACTTATTTCAGYCCAGGGGTTGTTTCAAGGTTCGATACAATGTAAATGTTATAAGAGGGCGCGTAATATCCGTGTTATTTAACAAATCATCAAAATTGAACGCTGCTTGCAGGTTATACTTGGAGACAGTGCCTTGTTAGAAGCCAAAGGCAGCGATGTAGCTGGGCGTGGGAACTCGTCTACCGGGGGAGGTGGAGGCGGTGTGATCGTGATCAACAGCACTAACCCTTTCATTGGAAAGAAACCTGTACCTGCTGAAAGTACCCGAGGAGGACAAGGACTTGTTCCTGGAGAATCTGGCGTCGTCATCATAAATGGTTGGTATAGAGCTGTTAAGTGTGACGTAATTCGAACGAAAAACGACTTCCGGGTCTAACTTAATAATTACTTCCACAGACATTTTTCTGTGTCTTTTACTTCATAGCAGGATTTTCTGTTCATATATCTAATTGTTGAAGGTAAAGAATGAATCCTGGGAATACGTTGGGGCAAGATTTTAGCGATCTTGTGTGTGATTGGACCCGGAAGTGCGTCACAACTTAAAAAGCCCTATTGTCTAGAAATGAGTTGGATAGCAAACTAATGCACTCTACAGTCATTCGCTTTTTTACATGTTTTTCTTTATTTTTTCATCCTATTTTGTCCGATTTGAATTTATTCCCTTCTCTTCCTTTTTACTTTACTTTTCCTTCTTTCAGTTTGTCTTCCTTTTTCTTTCCTTCCCCTCCCTTCCCTTTATTTCACTCTTTTCCTTCCCTTTCATTTTTTTCTTTGTTTTCATCATCTTATCAATTCTTCATCGTTAATCCCGTTTCTCTTCTCAACAGACGTGGTATATCGTGAACCACGTAATCCAGGTATGTGATGTGTATTCAGATATTTGCAATAATTACAAATTAAACCACGGTAATCAGCTATCAAAACAATTTATTAGATGATGCTGGGGGAAACACGGGTGGAATGCGACTCGAGTTCGATTCCCGGTCGGCTCAGTGTCGCATTGAGTAGAGCTGCTTATTGGTTCTCTCGTGTGCTTCGCGGGTTTTTCCCCTGTGCTTCGAGGGTTTTACCCCTGGTTCTCCAGTTTTCTTCCTACCGCACGAGAAATTTACTAAATTTTAATTCCATTTGCATGGCGTCCAAAAGGTTTGACGTGAACCTTTGGGTCGGGTATAATTTTTACATCTTTAGGTTTGACTTTCTTCAATATCTTTACTGAAATCCTTCACTCAATTATTTCAACTAGTTGTGGAAGTTCCATCGAACTTCAGCGGATGTTACCTCATCAAGGCCGTCAACTTGCTGCCAAAGAAAAAAATGCTGGCTCATGAAGCGAGACCAAAAACCTGCTTATTGGAATGTAGAGCTAACAATACCTTGTTTGCCGTCATTCGCAACGAGTCTTGCTACTGTTTCAACGAAAATGCATCGTTTGTGGTCCGGAATACTTCTCTTTGTAAACAGCCTTGCCCAGCCACCTTCAGTTACTCGTGTGGTGGAGAAGCAAACAATATCTACAGTGTTTATACCACAGGTATACCATGTGTAACAATAAAAATAACAACAGTATTACTTAACATATATATGTAAAACTTTGCACAGATTATTGGATTGTAGTGTATTTGGTTGTGTGTAACTATGAACGGACAGATAGGGAAAGTTTATACTTTTTGGCACTTTTCTTTTTTGTGCTTTCTTATGTTCTTTGTCAGTCAGTC